GGGAATTAGAGAAGGGGTTGGGGGAGGGCTGAAGGGGAGTGGGAGAGGAGGGGAGGGAGAGGGAGCTGGGTTTGACATGTGAAGCAAATTTGTTTCTAATTTAAATTAAATAAAAATAAATACAATACTTGGAAACCAAATCCAAGAACATATAAAAAAGATCATCATGACAAAGTAGGCTCCAACCTAGAGATGTAGGGATGGATCAACTCATAAAACTTAGCAAATGTAATCCACCATATAAACTAAAAGAAAAAACATATGATCATTTTATTAGGTACCAAAAAAGTCTTTGACAAATTCCAGAACCCTTTCATGATAAGAGTTCTGGAGATAGAAAGACAATCTACAGCTAGCCTATAGCCAACATCAAATTAAATGGAGAGAAATTAAAAGCAATTCTACTAAAATCAGGAACAAGGTAAGGCTGTCCGATTTATCCATATCTGTTCCATATAAAACTTGACTATTGGGCTGGAGAGATGGCTCAGTGGTTAAGAACACTGACTGTTTTTCCAGAGGTCCTGAGTTCAATTCCCAGCAACCACATGGTGGCTTACAACCATCTTGAATGAGATCTTGTGCCCTCTGCTGGCATGCAGGCATACACAATAAATAATAAAATAATAAAAAACTTGACGATTGAGCTAGAGCAATAAGACAACTAAAGGATATCATGGGGATACAGATTGGAAAGGAAGAAGACAAAGTATCACTATTTGCCGATGATATGATAGTATACTTAAGTGACCCTAAAATTCTACCAGAGAACTCCTAAAGCTAAAGACACTTTCAGCAAAGTGGACAGATTATCTAAAAAAAAAAATCACTAGCCCACATATATAAAAATGGACTGAGAAAGAAATCAGAGAAATAACTCTCTTCACAATAGCCAATAGCCAAAGATAATATAAAGTGTCCTGTGGTTCCTCTAATGAAGAAAACGAAAGACTTCTTTTTTTTCCTTTTTTTAAAATTTATTTTTCAGTTTAAATTTAGATTAGAAACAAGGTTGCTTCACAAGTCAGTTCCAGGTCCCTCTCCATTTCCCTCCCCTCCTCCCGTGCCCTACCCCCAAACCCCCCCAATATCCCCTCATTTCCCCAGGGAGGGTGAGGCCCTCCATGGGGGTGTCCACAGTCTGTCATTTCATCCAGGGCAGGGCCTAGACCCTCCCCCCAAGAGTTCAGGGTGAGAGTGCATCTCACATTGTTGGATTGGAGTCCAAAGTCCATGTCTATACTCGGGATGAGTACTGATCTACTGCCCAAGGCTCAATAGATTACCTAGGCCTCCTCACTGACACCCACATTCAGGGGGTCTTGATCAGTCCCATGCTGGATTCCCAGGCTGATGCCTGGGATTCAAAAGTTAACCTTTGTCAGGTCAGCTGTTTCTGAAAGACTTCTATGATAAAAAATCTTCAAGTCTTTGAAGAAAGAAAATGTAGAAGATATCAAAAAGTGGAAATATCTCCCATTCTCAAGGATTGGTAGGATCAAAATAGTAAAAATGGCCAATCTACCAAAAGCAATTTCAGATTCGGCACAATCCCCATCAAAATTCCAACACAATTCTTTACAGACCTTGAAAGGCCATTTATCTATGTTGTATGGAAAAACAAGACAACCTAAGATAGTCAAAACAATCCTCAACAGTAAGGGAACTGCTGGATGTATAACCATCCCTGATTTCATGCTATACTACAGAGCTATAGGAATAAAAACCACATGGTATTGCCATAAAATGAATACATTGATCAATAGAATCTACCCAAAGACCCAGACAGGACTTCACACACCAACAGACACCTGATTTTCGATAAAGAAGACAGAAAGACACAATGGAAAAAAAGAAAGCATCAACAAGTGGTGCTGGTCACACTGGATGTCTGCATGTAGAAAGATGCAAGTAGATTGATATTCCTTACACTACACAAAACTCAAGTACCAGTGGATGAAAGACTTCAACATAAAACCATACACATTGAACCTGATAGAAGAGAATATACAGAATATCCCTGAACACACTGGCACAGGAGATGACTTTTTGAAGAGACCACTAATAGTGCAGGTACTAAGACCAATAATTAATAATAGGACCTCAAGGAACTGAAAAGTTCTGTAAGGCAAAAGACACTGTCACTAGCCCAAAAGGGCAGCCTATAGAATGGGAGAAGATTTTAATCAACTCCACATCTGACAGAGAGGGCTAATATTCAAAATATATAAATAATTCAACAGACTACACATCAACAAGCCAAATCATTCAGTTAAAAAATGGGGTACAGTTCTAAACAGAGAATCCTCAAAAAAAGATTTTCAAATAGCTGAGAAACACTTAAAGAAATATTCTATATCCTTAGCCATCAGGGAAATACTATTCAAAGTTGCTTTGAGATTCTGTCTTACACCTATCAGAATAGCAAAATTAGGACACAATTCACAGCTCACGCTAGTGAAGATTTGTAGCAAGGCAAGTACTCCATTTCTGGTGGGAATACAAACTTGTACAGCCTCTGTGAATCAATACAGTGGCTCCTGAGGAAAATTGGAGTTGTTTTTACCTCAAGACCTAGGTATTCTTTTCTTGGACATACATCCAAAGGATGTTCTATCTTTCCACAAGGACACTTGCTCAAATGTGTTCCTTGTGGCTTTAATCATAATAGCCAGAAATTGGAAACAATTTAAAAGTCCCTCAATGGAAGAATAGATAAAAAATACGTAGTATATTTACACAAGGAAGTATTACTCAGCAGTTTTTAAAAAATGACATGCAATTGTCATTGCAAACTAATAGGTGAAACTAGAAAAAATATCCTGAATGAGATAACCAAGATCCAGAGAGACAAAATATGCATTCACTTATAAGGAGGTATCATTTGTAAAATAAATGATAATCAAACTACATTCCACCGACCCAGAGAAGTGAGATAAAGAGAAGGTCTCTAAAGGAAAGACATGAATCTTCCTGGGATGGGAAATAGAATAGATTTTTCAGGTGAATTTGGAGTGGATGGAAACAGGAGCAGGTGGGATCATGTTAGTGGCGTAGGGAGGGATGGAGGGAGAGAGTGCAGGGAGAGACAGCTCGTATAGGCTTACACACAGGGCTCATATGGGCTCACAGAGACTGATGCAGCAAACATGAGACTACATGTGTCTACACTGGGTTCTCTGCCACATATATGTTGGTGTTTGCTGGGACTTCTAATAGTAGGAGTGGGCGTGTCTCTGACTCTTTTGCCTACTGTTGGGCTGCCTTTCCTTCTATTGGATTGCTTTGTCCAGTCTCTATATGAGGGCTTTTGTCTTGTCTTATTTTTGTTTGGTTTATTCTGTTTTATCAGGTTTGGCTGTTGTCTCTTGGATGCCTGTTCTTTTCTTAAAAGAAGCCAAGGTGGAGCAGATCTGGGGAAGAGGGGAGGGTTGTGGGAGCTGGGAAGAGTGAGGGAGGGGAAACTAAGGTTGGGATCTAGTGTTTGAGAGAATAACGTATTCTCAATAAAAGAAATAAAATATTCATTCAATAAGAAAAGCATAAATTGTGTAATAGTTACAACCACACTCTAGAATAGATTTATTAAATATGTAGTCTTTACCCAAGGGATAGTGTAAGATTTACTTCCTCTAAAATATTAACAAGGTGCAGAAATTACGATTCAATGGCATATGATCATTTTCATATATATAGCAGGAAGTTGTAGGCTATGGATAGTGGGCAGGAGGTAAGATTGCCCTTTCTGTGAAGACTGCATTTCATGGACAGACCAGTAGTAGGGGTTGGATGCTGCCTCCTCAGGAAAATCCTCTGCCCTTGGAGGTCTCAGTCACAATTAGAGCTGGAGAGTTGTCCAGAGCAAAATCAGCGGCAGTGTAAGAGATGAATGAAAAGCAATAACTTCATCAGTTCCTCCAGGAAAGACATCTCTTGTTTCTACATATAGACTACTGCCTAGCATTCATGTGACTCCCAACAAATATTCTTCAATGTTTAAATGAATGGGAGCAAACTTGTGTTTTTCTTTTTAAAGCTACCTGTCTACCAATGATGAATCATCTTATATTGTATATTCACTGAAGTTTTTAAGGTCACAATAATTTAGCACCTATGCCTTAAACACATATTTGTAACCAACTGACCTTTGACATTTGGTTAACACTCAATTTTAATTTAGGTATTTAGATGAGTTTTGAGCTGTGATGCACATCTGTAATCCTAGTTACTGAGGGACAGAGATGGAAGAACTGAACATTAAAGTCTGGACTGCACTACACTATGAGTGCAAAGCTCATCTGTGACACTTAGCGAGATCATATATCAAGATTTTAAAAGGATTTGGGTATACACCTCATTGTTAGAATGTTTAATGAGCATTTGCAAAGTCCAGGCTCCAATACTATTTTAATAATTAAAAACAAGGGACGCCCGATACTTTCTCAAGTGAAATTAAGGAGGAGTGAATATGGAGTAGGGGGACTTGGGGGCGAAGGACTGGGAGGGTGGGAGCGAGGGGGCTGATGCTGAGAGGTAATATATGAGAGAAGAGGAAAAGGGTGACAGTGAGGACCACTGCTTTGACATTTGCTGACATTTACACAGGGCTCTCCCTGGTGAAGGCTGCTTCCAGCCTGTGATTTCATAGAAATCGATAATTGATGGTATGTTGGTGATCTGTAGATAAGGGGGTGGATGGTCATGAGTGTGTGTGTGTGTGTGTGTGTGTGTGTGTGTGTGAGAGAGAGAGAGAGAGAGAGACAGAGAGGAGAGAGGAAGAGAGAGAGGGGGGAGAGAGAGGGAGAGAGAGAGGGGGACAGAGAGAGAAGAGAGGAGACAGAGGTAGGGAGAGGGGGAGAGGGAGAGAGAGGTAGAGAGAGAGAGTGAGTTAGAGAGAGAAGAGAAGAGAAGAGAGAGAGAGAGAGAGAGAGAGAGAGAGAGAGAGAGAGAGAGAGAGGATTAAAGATGGTGGGAAGCTTGCGCACTCTGCCTCGGCCTACCTGCTCCTCCTTGGCCAAGAGTTCATAGATCTTCTCATGGGCCTCCCCACAGAGCATCTTCATCTCCTCACTGGACTCTTGTAGTGAAATCTGCTCCCTTCGCAGTTTTCTGTTCTCCTCTCTCAGCGTGCTTACTTTTTCCTTTAGCTGAGTCCACTCGTTCAGGATCTGGCTGTGGAGGATGCTGAACATCACAAAACAAACGGTGAGATCCCTCTAGGCTCAGTCTGCCATTCCCACATCATCCATTCAAGGTCCCATGTCCACAGACAGCTCCACACTAGAGACCACAGCAGCCACGTCAGAATAACTGAGTAGCTGACAAAAGCCAGAGAACAGCCAACTTCCAGAAAGACTCAGACTACTTCTGAAAATCCTGAAACTAAAAGGGAACCATGTGTTTCTGTGCACAGGGTTTGCCCCCCCCTCCGACCCCACAGTTGCTTAACTGTTCATGGGATTGGGAAAACATCAGCAGGAAGGGAGGTGTAAGGCAAACATTCTCTGAGCAAGCACAGAACTCCCAATGGCAATATATTCCATTTATAGGTCCCATGGACTCAACTCTGTAAGCCTCTGCCAGAGTCACAGAAACCCACAGATGCCTGACTCCCCATCATGGTGCAAACAGTTTTTCTACCTAGAGGCTCCTGAAGCTGGCAGGACAATGCTGGGAGGGGCTCACAGACACTTCACTCTTGGCAAAACTGGTCCAAGAGGCCCAAGATAGGCTGCTTACTATGGCACAGATGGGCTAGAACAAAAGTCTCCACTTTGGATCAAAGACAAAACAATGGTAAAAGCAGTCACTGACAAATAATGGTCCCAGTGAAGTCAGTCACTCACCTGCAGGAGACAGTTTCCTCAGTAAGCTCCCTGCATGTCTGCAAGGCCTCACTAATCTCCTTGGGGAATTTCTGCAGGTCCAACATCACTTTTTTATGCTCCATATTCAGCATCTCCAGTTCAAAATCCAGCCTGTGGTAGGACAAGGCCCAGGAGGAAAGAACCCCATGAACACAGGACTCAATGGGCATATGAATTCAGGCTGTGCCCAGAACTACCCCAGCACAATCAATGTCCCATTCTGGTACCTATGAACTAGGACAACCTGTGCTTGTTCAAGTTTCTGTCCTGGTCCTAGCCTAGCGGTCAGGGGGTGCAAAGGGAGTGAGCCAGGACTGCATGAGCTCCATCACTGGACCTGGAGGGATAGACAAGCTCTCTAGGAAGTACACAGGGGTCTGTGTCACAAGTCTGGGCCCACTAGAAATCTATGAAAATGTTACTACTGTCTTTAGAAAAGGGATTATTGGCCCCAGGTTCCTATTGTTACATAGATTCCCAGAGCACAAAATCAGTATTTTCAGGGAGGAGACCCAACCAAAGGATAGATTTATAAGTCTCAGTAGCTTCTAAAGGGCTGCCAAGTGAGAACACCTGCTGCCCATAGTGAAGTCCCTGACCTTGATACTGGCATCATCTGGAAACTGTGACATGGGAAGAACCACACGCCCTGCTCAGACCCACAATGTCCAGGATACACGCACAACAAATGCACACTGAGAATGCCAACTAAATGTAGTGAAGTGGCATTGTCTCAGGGTATAGGGAACAGGACTAGAGAGGAGCAGTGATGAGGTCCAATCTTCAAGTCACATACTGAGATGGACCACGTGGGACTGGGCCCCTCCAGCTACTGCCAGGAGCAACCAGCACCTAACAACATGCTTGTTGGGGGAGGCCCAGAAGCATATCTGTGTCTCTTATTGGCTGATGAATGAAACATGGATTGGCCAATAGGCAGTCGGGAAGTATATTCAGGGCTATGAGATGAGGATAATTCTGGGGAGACTCCATGTATCAGTTGGGAAGATAGGATGCCAGACATTCTCCAGTAATGTAAGACCATGTAGAAATACACAGATTAGGCCGGGCGTTGGTGGTGCACGCCTTTAATCCCAGCACTTGGAAGGCAGAGGCAGGTGGATCTCTGTGAGTTCAAGGCCAGCCTGGTCTATAAGAGCTAGTTCCAGGACAGCCTCCAAAGCCACAGAGAAACCCTGTCTCGAAAAACAAAACAAAAAAAACAAAACAAAAAAAAAGAAAAGAAAGAAATACACAGATTAGAAGTTATAGGTTAATAATTAAGAGAGCAGTAGCCAGTAAGAAGCCTGAGTCATTGACCAAACTGTTTATATTTAATATAAGTCTCGGTGTGTTTATTTGGGGCTAAACGGCTGTGGGACCAGGCAGAACAGAAACTCCTTCTACATATGCTGGTCAAGTACACAGTCTCACGAAAAACTCACAGCACATGGCATCTCCCACAAGCCAACACCTGCCAAGGCCTTTGGAATAGTATGTTGAGAGCTCACACACTGCTGACCTTATCCCCAGACTGATCCAGGCCATAGGCTCTGCTTTTCATTTGGTGGAAGCACAATAGCCTGTATCCCCACTTCACTCCTAACCAGGTTTCAGTTCTGCCTCTCAGATGTTCTGCCTCTCAGATGTTCTGCCTCTCAGATGCAGTCAGGAAAATTAGTTCGGGCATGGGGACACTCTGGTGACCTGAGAAATGCTGGGGTTGACTCAGTGAAGTCAAGACAGTCACCAGAGAACTGGGCATAGTGACTACCTGTTGTTCAAATCCTTGTTGGTATAACTGGCCAGGATTCCTTGGAGTTCATTCCTTTCATTGGTCATCATCTCAAGTTGGTGGGTCAGTTTATCCAGCATGTTCATCTGTTGCTCCTGCTCAGTGGGAGATGTTGGGGTAGATGTCTTTCCAGTAGTCCCTGTAATCAGATAAACAATTTGTATAGCTCTTATGGCACAGGGCCAGGAGAGATCATGTTGAGTACTAAGAAGAGGCCTGAGCAGTAGGGAATGCATAGAACCCAGTGAAAACCCCAACGAGGACAACTTTTCTCTAGCAGGGGGCCCATAAATCATGTGTCTCCCAATCACCATGGTGAGATATGTGCATCAGCACCTATTGCAGTCCCACTGACCCTGGAAGGAAATGCTACCCAACTGTGATGCTTGGAGATGTCAGCTCATATCTGATGGGATGAAGAAAAATCCTGGTGTCCCAAGTGCTTAGCACCACTAATCTTTATTTCCCTGTGTCCAGAACTACAAACAATTGAATGTCTGAGACCTCAGCACATGGATGGGGAGTTTCCCTTCCTGGTATTCACATCAGATACCCATGGAACCTATGAAATCCACTGGAGATGAATTGTAACAACACCCTACCATGACAACTCATTAATCTGTACCTCCTGCTGGCCTTCTTTGCCTCTCAAAATGAAATTAAGAAACTCCTAGAACAGCAGCTGCAGCCTTGACAATGACAACCCCTGGCTCTCTGCCAAATTAACCTTCAGAAATCTTGACTCAGGGTTTGCACTTTAAGGACTGAGAGAAGCATTATAGACCCATCTCTTGCAAAGATCCCAGCTACTGAAAAACATTTCTGGAAGGTCCAGCACAAGCCCCAACCCCTCCTTAGAAAGACAGAGCTCTCTGCCTATCAGTGTGCTCAATCTTGCCAACATGTCTTCTGGTGAATCCTATAAGTACTTAATGAATGTCCCGGGGACAGTAGGTATTGCCACAACACTGCAGATTTCAAAGAACATGTCAAGGGCTCTCCGTGATACAACAGAATGTCCAGAGAAGGGACTGTTAGGGTCACTGCTAACTGTCATCACCTATCTGATAACTGTCTCATCCCCAGTTAACCAAAAGTCAAGCTGCCCTTTCCAGGAGCTTTCCCTGAAATACCAGGGAAGACCTGCAGGATCCTCTCCTTCAAATCCAGAAATCGCTCTGATTCATTAGACTCTTCACTAGTTCATCTTGTGAAGGTAAAGACTCACCTTCCAAACACTCTCCAGGCATGGTTCTTCCTCTCCTTAAGATCTCTAATCAAAAAGATGAGAAGTAAAGGATACTAAGAAATTAGCTCAGGATGATTGGGAAGGAAGACAAGTTCCATGAAATAACCGAGCACATTGGGAAAGGTCCACAGGGCTCTTCCAATGTGTGGGGGTGGTGGGGGATTGTGGGTGTCCTGTCAGCCAAAGATAAGTCACATAGGTAATGATGAAAATTTCCCCAAAACTTCAGCAGAGTACATCCCATCCATCATGATGTTCATGATGTTAGCAAAGGCATGATCTCCTAGTGACAGGACACGCTGGAGATGCCTAAGGACAGGGCATCCACAGGTGACCCTCAGACACCAAGAACAAACACTTGCAGGAAAGCTGATGGCTCCTTCCTGTACTCGAGTTATAGGAAAGATGACGGGCTAGTGACAGGACAGGAACTCAGAAACCTTAGGGCTCACTGACATGCAGCAGTACTTGGTGACTCCTGCTCTGCAAGTGCCTATGAGGTAAAATGTGAGAACCTTCAGCTTTGTCCAAGGAACTTTATTCTTCCTATTATGAGTGACACAAAACCAAAGGAAATCCAATGTAGGTGAAGTGTAGGGCTATAACTGAAACCTCATTCATTCCTCGGTGCTTCCCTACCCCTCAGAGTAAAGGCAGAGGGCCCCTAGCGAGAAGTTGCAGCACTGACCATTCCTGGCTCTTTGCCAAACTAACCACCAGAAATCCTTGACTGTATGTCTGCTCTTTTAGAAGTCAGAAGAGCAAGATATGCCCATTGCTTTTCAGAATCTCCAAGATCCTCAGGCCCAGTATGAAAATCCCAGCTGAAGCCTTCCTCCTTCCGGAAGCTCCCCATCCCTGCCCAGGACTCACTGTGCTTTCCCCAGAAGTATTTGTTTCTTGATGTGTGACATTGAGACTGAAGGCCAGCTCCCTTCTGCCTCTCTTTAGTCTGGTTATTATCTCCCTTCTGTCTCCCAAGGAGCCTGCCCAGTCTTGCCAGCATGGCTATGGGTGCAACCTGTAGGCAATGAACAGATGCCCCAAGGTCAGTTGGTGTTGCCACAACACTGGTGACATCACAGAGAATGCCAGAGATCTCCAGGATACAGCAGAATGTCCAGTTGGGGTCTGCTGATGTCAGTGGATAACCATTACCTCCCTGCTATCTAACTCACTCCAAAATTACCTGAAACCAACGTTGTGGGAAAAACAGACCTTGGCCAGAGGCCTATTTTCCCATAAACCTGGGAGCAGGCAACTGTAAGACAAGGTTTACTAAAAACAATACAGAGCCTGGAGCAATAAGTTCCTGATAAGGGCTCACCCATGGGAACGCCCTGACCTTGACCTTTTCCAAAGACTAACTGCCTCCTTCTGACACACCCACCTCCACCTCTGGTGTCAAGGCATATAACCAGCCAGGGGTAAGAAAAGGAGCAGAAGCTTTTCTTGAGGGAAGCCTTTCTTGGGAAGTTTTCTAGAGCCTTCTTGAGGAGCCTTTTGGAAGCCATCTTGAAGTTTTCTTTGCACCACCCATGGGTCTCTGTGTCATCAATCCCGACACCCTCCGCACATTCTCAGACACAGGCTGCACAGCAGGCACCGCATTTGGAAGTCCTACCGAGATTGTGAAAGCGAGGTAAGTGGATGGGGTTGTCCCTTTTGCTGGCCAGGGGCAGATTGTGGAAAATAAGAAAAGAGACAATGGGGAATAGTTCTGGGAAGCTTGAATTACAGTATCAAATAAAAATGTTACTTGAAGGACAGGGGACTACAGTCAAGGCTAAAACCCTAGAAGGCTTTCTAAAATTGGATCCAATGAGTGAGTCCCTGGTTCATTACTGGAGGAAGCTTAAATATCCCAGATTGGGAGGAGGTTTGCCGTGATATTCATCAACTTTTATGAAAAGAGGGACCTGAGTCCTTGCCCCCATGCACATTCTCCTTCTGGAGATTAGTAAGGGGTGCACTTTTGACAGATAAGGTTCACCACCGATAGGTAGTCCAGGCCACAAAAGAGACTTTTTCAGAGTTACAAGAGACTGAGACTCAAGCCTCCCTGTGTTCAGAGGCAGAGAGTGAGGATGAATCATCTGAAGAGACCTGCCTGAAACTAGAGGCTCCATTGTTAGTGAGGATGAGGAGGAGTTTCTTAGCAACAACAACAAAAAAAATGGGTAGAGATCTCGGGGTGCAAACCAAAAAGGATGACTCTGGTCAGAATTGGTTATATCCTTCTCTGTGAGACCTAGAAAATGAAAGTAGCTCAGACTCAGACTTGTCAGAGTCTGAGAAGGAACGGTTACTTGCTGAGATTGCAGCCCTTAAAAAAGCACTAAAAAAGACTTGACTTAAGAAAAGGCAGGACAGAGGAAAGAGATCAGCCCCTCCAAGACCCCAACCCAGCGAGCCCAGCTTCAGGTGAGATTGGGTCTCTGGCTGGGACCACCCGCCCATCACCCATCCCCCTCCATCTTCGGGGCCGCTCCCGGCTTCCAGAAGAGCCGCCCACACAGGAAAGAGATCAGCCCCTCCAAGACCCCAACCCAGCGAGCCCAGCTTCAGAAGAGCCGCCCACACAGGAAAGAGATCAGCCCCTCCAAGACCCCAACCCCAGTGAGGCCAGCTTCAGCTTCAGCTGCAGTAAGGAAGGAGACCAGTGGAGACAGAAAGCCCCCACCAGCACCCACTGGAAGAAGAGATGGGAAGAAGACAGAATAAGAGATCACTCAGCAATAGAAACACCAACACGACCCCACCAGAATCCAGGGATCCAACACCAGCAAGACCTGAAAAGCACTACATAGATGAAGAAGAGGAGACAGACCTTAAAAATTATTTCATGAAGATGATGGAGAGCCTCAAAGAAGAAACGAGGAAATCCCTTAAAGAAATAGAAGAAAAAACAAACAAAAAAATCCATGAAATGGGGGAAAAATTCAAGAAATAAACAAATCTCTCAAAGAATCTAAAGAGCACCAAGAAAAAACAACCAAGAAAATTAAGGAAACAGCTCAAACAGTTGAAGGATTGAAAGCTGAAATAGAAACGATAAAGAAAACACAGAATGAAGGGATGCTGGAAATAGAAAAGCTCGGTAAACGGTCTGGAATTACAGATGCAAGTATCACCAATAGAATACAAGAGATAGAAGAGAGAATCTCAGGTGTTGAAGACTCATTAGAGGACATAGCATCGTCAACCAAAGAAAATCTCAAAACCAACATATCCTTAACACAAAATATCCAGGAAATATGGGACACCGTGAAGAAGCCAAACCTGAGAATAATAGGTATAGAAGAAGGTGAAGAACTTCAACTTAAAGGTACAGAAAACATATTCAACAAAATCATAGAAGAAAACTTCCCTAACCTAAAGAAAGATATGCCTATGAAAGTACAAGAATCTTACAGAACACCAAATAGGCTTGACCAGAAAAAGAAGTCACCTCGCCATATAATAATCAAAACATCAAACCTACAGAGCAAAGAGAAAATATTAAGAGCAGCTAAAGAAAAAGGCCAAGTAACATATAAAGGCAGACCTATCTGAATTACACCTGACTTCTCAATGGAAACGATGAAAGCCAGAAGATCCTGGTCAGATGTCCTACAAACGCTAAGGGAACAAGGATGCCAGCCCAGACTACTATATCCAGCAAAGCTCTCAATTACCATAGATGGAGAAAACAAAATATTCCATGACAAAGCCAGATTTAAACAATACGTATCCATGAATCCAGCTCTACAGAAAATGCTAGAAGGAAAACCTAGAGCCAAGGAAGATAACTACATTCACAAAGACACAGGCAATATAGAATCATACTTTACAAAACACTAAAAGAAAAAGGGAGGAGAAACTACACAAAATAACTTCACTAACAATAAATCAAGCGCAAACAAGGATCACCAATCAATGGTCATTAATATCCCTCAATGTCAATGGCCTCAACTTACCTATAAAAAGACACAGACTAGCAGAATGGATACGAAGACAGAACCCTTCCTTCTGCTGCATACAAGAAACACATCTCAACACCAAAGACAGACGTTATCTCAGAGTAAAGGGCTGGGAAAAGATCTTCCAATCAAACGGCCCCAAGAAACAAGCGGGCATAGCAATCCTAATATCTAACAAATTAGACTTCAAATTAAAATCAATCAAAAGAGATGAAAAAGGGCACTTCATATTCATCAAAGGAAAAATACATCAAGACGAAGTCTCGATTTTAAATATCTACGCCCCAAATACAAAGGCACCTACATTCGTGAAAGAAACATTACTAAAGCTCAAAATGCACATAAAATCTCACACACTAATAGTAGGAGACTTCAACTCTCCGCTCTCACCGCTAGATAGGACCTCCAGACAGAAACTTAACAAAGAAACAAAAGAATTAATAGAAGTTATGACCCAACTGGGTTTAACAGACATCTATAGAACATTCCACCCAAATACAAAGGGATATACCTTCTTCTCGGCACCACATGGAACCTTCTCTAAAATTGACCACATAATAGGAAACATAGCAAATCTCCACAGATACAAAAAAATTGGAATAACCCCTGCATCTTATCAGACCACCATGCATTAACATTAGAATTCAACAATAACACAAATCGCAGAAACCCTACAAACTCATGGAGATTGAACAATGCACAATTGCACCATCCCTGGGTAAAGGAACAAATAAAAAAAGAAATTAAAGACTTCCTCGATTTCAATGAGAATGAAGACACAACATACACAAACTTATGGGACACTTTGAAAGCAGTGCTGAGAGGAAAGTTTATAGCACTAAGTGCCCACATGAAAAAACTGGAGAACAGTCATACTAGAGAATTAATAGCACAGCTGAATGTTCTAGAACAAAAAGAAGCAAACTCCCCCAGGAGGAGCAGACGCCAGGAAATAATCAAATTGAGGGCTGAAATCAATCAAGTAGAAACCAGGAAAACATTGAGAAGAATCAATGAAACAAAGAGTTGGTTCTTTGAGAAAATCAACAAAATAGACAAACCTCTGTCCAAACTAACCAAAAGACAGAGAGAGGACATGCTAATTAACAAAATCAGGGATGAGAAAGGGGACATAACAACGGACTCTGAGGAAATCAAGAGAATCATCAGGGCATACTTTGAAAATCTGTACTCCACGAAATTTGAAAATTTAAAGGAACTGGACAATTTCCTGGATAGATATCACTTGCCAAAACTAAATCAAGAACAGATAAATAATCTAAACAGACCTATAACCCCTAATGAAATAGAAGCAGTCATCAAAAGTCTCCCAAACAAAAAAAGCCCAGGCCCAGATGGCTTCAGTGCAGAATTCTACCAGAAATTCAAAGAAGAGCTCATTCCAATACTCGTCAAAGTATTCCACACTATAGAAGCAGGAGGCTCACTGCCAAACTCTTTCTACGAGGCTACAATTACCTTGATACCCAAGCCACACAAAGACACAACTAAGAAAGAGAACTATAGACCAATTTCCCTCATGAACATTGATGCAAAAATACTCAATAAAATACTTGCAAACCGGATTCAAGAACACATCAGAAAAATCATCCACCATGATCAAGTAGGCTTCATTCCAGGAATGCAGGGATGGTTCAACATTAGAAAATCTATCAATGTAATCCACCATATTAACAATCTGCGAAAGAAAAACCACATGATCATCTCACTAGATGCTGAAAAAGCCTTTGACAAAATCCAGCACCCCTTCATGATAAAGGTCCTAGAGAGATCAAGGATAACAGGAACGTATCTGAATATAATAAAAGCAATATACAGTAAACCAACAGCTAACATCAAACTAAATGGAGAGAAACTCAAAGCAATTCCTCTAAAATCAGGAACAAGACAAGGCTGTCCACGCTCTCCATATCTCTTCAATATTGTACTTGAAGTTCTAGCTACAGCAATAAGACAACAAAAGGAGATAAAGGGTATACAAATAGGAAAAGAAGAAGTCAAACTTTCATTATTTGCAGATGATATGATAGTTTTCATAAGTGACCCAAAAAACTCCGCAAGGTTACTCCTAGA